GGAAAATCAGTCATTTGATCGACAGATTAAAGCCTATATTTTGGCAGGTATATATTTTCATGGTGTTCGAAATATGATAATCTCTTTAAATATCGGTAGTCGAAGTTAATGTTATAAAAACTCATATAAAACAATAATTAATGGGATTAAAGGTGAGCTTTTATTTCTTTTACAGAAAATTACCTGAAGAATAGGGCTCATAAACCTCATTATCCATCAGATCGCCCTCAAAGTCTTGGTCAAAGGTTGATTCACAATCAACTTTCAGTGTGTCTTGGCTTCCTATGTGACTTAAGGTGCCAGTCACGTTATAACTGTCCTTTCCAATACCAGCATTAGATTTGCCTCGTTTACCAACAAATGGTTTGCATATCGAAAGCCAAGTTGTAAGCTCATTTTCATTATCAGTTGCAAGAAAAAGTTTTTTATTTCCTAAAACTCCTGCAGGTACAAGTTTTAGGGCAAATAAAGCTTTGTCATGGACTGAAACCGTTCTCATACAGCATGATTTATATTGGCTCAAGTTACAGAGAGCAGTAAATGGCCTTGAAGAAGAGTTCAAACGACTGCTTATCGTATTTGTTAATGAAAAATCAGACAACGTGCTCCTATTGTCTTCATCAGCATAGCTAAGAGGTATGGGTTTTGATTTTATACAGAGAAAAGTATCGGTATCATCCGAAAGCAAATGAACTTGGCATGGAACCCAATCATCCTAGTTAAAATAATTTTAAGAATTATTACAATACCTTTGCTGCTTTTATATAGCTTGCCTTGACGAGGAACCTTCCCATCAAGCTCATCCCTACGCAGAAGGGAAATCCAAATAGGCGCCTCGAATCATTTATAGGCATTAGTGAGCGCAATAAATAAAAATACTATTTATTCAAGCAGTCTACAAAAATTATTTTGCTAAATATATATAGAAATATTTTATTTTTATTTTTATTTTTTAAGTTATGTTTATCCCGACTCTTCTACTGACATGCATAATAATTGATTTCTGTTCGCCCCTATCA